GGAAAAACCCCCCCCCGCCGCTCCATGCCCCCCCTGCTCGCTGCCAGCACCTGCCTCCCGTGGCGCCGTGGCTCGTCGGCCAGCCCGAGAGGGATGGCCTGAGGAGAGGGACATCCCCTCGCCTCCAGCAGACACCCTCCCTGGCAAAACCCGCCGGCCGTAGCCGCGAGCCTCCCCGACGCACCAGCGCGGGCAGCGCCTTGCACGGAGCCAGACGGCCGGAGGGGCGGTGCCGGGTGCCAGCGAGCGCTGGCGTGACTGTGGGGCATCCCGCGCCGGGAAGCCCGACGCGCTGCGTTTTTTGCCAGGAGGGGTGGGCTTCTTTTTCCTGTATTATTTTAGCAATAATCCCAGCAGCAAGGAAGATTTATGGTGTCCGTCGGCCTCTCTGCAAAATCATCAATAAAGGCAGACAATACAATTTACTCAAACCTCCCTGGAAGCTCAACAGCTCTGGAGGGGAAAACACGGGCAGCCATTAAAGTTACGGAGCTGGGTGTCTCTGTGGTGCAAAGAAAAGGAACCAATTAATAAGGGAGGGGGTGGCTGGGGCTTAATCCTTCTGGGAGAGCAGAGCCGGTAAAATATTCCAGCTTGGGGAAGGCGTTAGTTTTTCCAGCTAGACAGGCGTGCTTGTTCTCCTCTTAATTGCACAGTTCCACTTTCGAGGGAAGGAAGAGCCGCTGAGGGTTTCCTCGTGGGCTTCCCAACCCTGGGTGGGCAGGCAGGGGAACGGCAAGCTTCCCGGGAACGTTGTCCCCTCGGCGGGCAAGACGCGCCATGGGTCAGCAGGCCTGGCCAGCCCAAGCTGCGGCAGGAGCACTCTCCAGGCTTGCTGCTGCTCCTCCAGGTTTGAAACAAGAGGAATGCCCCCACGGTGCTGCTGGTGAAGTGTGAGCTTCCCCGGTGACGGCTTCGGTGCGAGCCATGCTCTCGCAGCATCGCTGCTGACCGTGCACAGCAAGGCCGCACTTGGTACGTCCCCACCAGAGTCAGGCTGGCAGCAGAGGGACGAACGGACGCCGGAGGACTTCGTGGCTCGTCAGGCATCACCCTGCCTCCATCCCAGAGCAGCAGGCGAAGGAAAACCCATCCCCTTTCCCTTCCCTACCAAACCCCCTTCCTCCCCTGGCACGCCACCACTGTCCCCCACCACCAGCAGACCCCAGGGAAGCCCCACGGAGCCACGGACCAGGTGGGAAACACCCATGAGACCCAAATCCCCCTCGCCCGCAGACCACCCCCGGCAAAAGACCGTGGAGCTGCCGCCGTGAGTGCCAGCCCGGGGATCCTTTCCTCCTCCCCGCCCCATGCACGGCCCCGGCTTTATTTACCGCATACTGTTTCCCACCCTGCTGGGAAGACAGAATTATTCATTTCCTCGCCAGCTTTTCTGCGGCGTGCATCGCTACAGCGCTGAGTGCTTTGCAAACAATAATTAATTAACCTCTGCAGCCCGCCTTGTGCGCACGGGGGAATTTGCTCATCCCCCTTTATTCCAGGGGGCTCCGAGGTAGGAGCCCCACTTTCCGACGTGAGCCTCCAAGCCACGGGCCAGGGCAAAGCTCGCTCTGTCACCTTGAGTTTGGGTTTCGTGGTTCAAAGCGGTGCTGGAGCACTCACTGCGGACAGGTCCAACGTCCAGGAGGGGAAGCGTGGGCTCAGGATGATTTCTCGGACACATTTCTGCCGACGGTCTCCATCGATTCAGCCCAGCGCTCAGCTGGACACGTAGGCTACAAGAGCTTGTGGTGATGGAGACGTGGGTGGGAGCCTCACCGAGTGCTTGGGTGCAAGAAGGTTGAGGTAAGGGAGGGCCGAGAGACCGTGGCAGATCCCTGGGCTCAGCCCAGGCAGGGTGACGCCCTGCGAGTGCCAGGCCTCACCCACCCACAGAGAAAGGCTCCAGCACTCGACCGGCAGCACCGCGCGAGGCTGCACGCTCCCCCGGGGAGCGCTCCGGCAACCCCGGGGGGCTCCAGGAGGCAGCAGGGCTTTTTTCCCAAGGACAAATCTCGACTCAATGATGTTTCTCACTTCAAGACAAGGCAAAAGCTTTGCCCGCGCTTGAAACTGCTGCTACAAGTTTCCCAGCCGACAGCTCAGGCCGACCCTCCGGGGTCCTAGAAACGCTGGTGGCCACTTGGCAGAGGAAGGATCGGGTCCCGGCAGCATGCCTGGGCTCTCGGTCAGACTTTGTCTCTGCTTTTTAGGCTGGCGCGTCCCAAAGGGCCTCCTGGGCTGTAGGGAGATCCTTCACCCGCAGCGGAAGGGGTAAAAGCCCAGCTGAGTCTTTTGGGGTGCACAGGGAGGCAGGAACAGCCTCTGCAACGGCGGCCTGAGGAGAGGAAGGCTTGCAGGGGGGACGCCCCTGCTGCTGTATCCGAAGCCGGCAGCGTCCTCGGGCTGCAGCGCCCACGTTCCCAAAGGCGGTGGCCGAGACGCGAGCTGTCAGCCAGGAGGGGAAGGGGCTGATCCCTTTTGCCCTCAGCAAAGCACAGGGGCCGGATCGCAAGGAGGATCACTGCAGGTGGAGATGGGCACGTGGGAGTGACGGGACACTCGGCAGGCACGTCTGCAGCCAGGAGGGATCCTCCAGCACGGCACGCGAAGAGGGTGACAGGCATCATCGGCATGGGCATGGTGCCATGTCACATCTCCACGCCCTGCCGGGAAGGTCACCGCCTGTTGTGGCCGGTGCTGGGCTTCGTCATAGCACGAGGTTTCTTCCCCGATCCTAAATACCTTGTCAGAGCTGGAGAGATGCCGCCAAGGGATATAAGTAGGTCTTGGAAAAACAACCTCTCACCACCTGCTTTCCTTCGGGAACAGCAGCAGCCGTCGCCCCAAACGGCAGCGGGAGATGTTTAGGGGGTATGGAGGAGGCAGCAGGCGATGTTTCCAGCAGTGTGTGCAGGGCAGGGCGGAGGGAGAGCACCGCAGATTGTTATTAACTTGGCCTCGTGGCTCACGAGATGACAAGCCGAAGACTGTAATAGCTGTTCAAGGCAGGACTTGGTGACAAAAGCCCAAGCATGGATAACAAATGCTGGAGAGGATGAGAAAAAGAGAGGGAACAGGGGGAAAAAATCCTCAACAAGGAAAATAATCCCAAAATGTGTTGTGCACAACACCCAGCGGAGATTTCTAAAAACAGCTCGTGCGAAGCTATTTTAATCTCACTTTTGACAAGCGAGCGGGTGTGACAGAGAAGGGAGAGCACAGGGATTATACCTGGGACCGGGGCTTCGGTGTGGCGCCACAGGCAGGGGCAGGAGCCCGGGACAGGACCCCGAGCGGGAGGAGGTGCGGGCAGGGCCCCCGCCACGCATCACGGGCATCGGCACAGCGCTCCGCTTCGAAATGACGCCCGCTGGGTTTCTGCCACGGCCAGGCTGTCGCACAAACCGGGACAAGATGGGAAAGACGCTGGTGCTCAGCCCAGGCTCCGGCAGGGAGAACCTCGCGGAGCAGGAGGGCAAAGGCAGAGCCGAGCGGTCTCTGAGCACCGGGAAGAGGGGAGCGCTGGGGCTGCTGGAGAGCGGGCAGACATGCGGCGAAGAGGATAAATTGATAAGAACACCCGACAGGATGGGGAAGGCAGCGCCGGCGGGGGTTATAAGGCAAATTAACCTTCTTACAGTAAGAGCCGGGGGGAGAAGGGAGGCCGGCTAATGAGGGCCCGGGAATGGCCGTCCCAGAAGGGAGCTGAGCAGGGGGCAGGGGAAGCCAAGGGGGTGAAAGGCGGCTGTAACAGCAGCCCGGAGAGCACAGGGATCTTGATGATGCTTGATGTGTCCTGCAAGAGCGCACGGGACTCATCGGCCTCTCTGCATGGAACTGGGACTCTCCCAGATGGACAATATCAAGCAGGAGAAATTTCCCCTCCTCGGCGCCCGGATCCACGCTCTGCCCGCAGGGATTGCCTCACTCACAGAGCACGAGAACACAAGCATACACAGGTTTTTCTCCAGACAGAGCCGCTGAGGTGCCCCAAGCCGTAACCGAGGCGGTCAGGAGCTCCTCGGATAACTCCGGCGCTGGCACCAGGTGAGTTTGGTTTCGGCTGCATCCCCACGCTGCCGGGGAATGCCGTCCCCTGCGTCCCGGGGAGGGAAGCCAGGTGGCACCTTGCAGCATCTTGCAGGACAAAGACGTTCCCGACCGCCACATTCGGAGTTCACAGGGAGCCACGCAACATGTGGATGCACAAGCTCAGGTACAGAGAGGGCCCGTACGCCCCGTCAGCCCTCCAACCAAACCCCAACGGCTCCCACCCAGTCCCCTCCCAGGCGCCAAACGAAGCAGTTCACTAACACACGCTGGGTGTCTCCTGATGAATGAATCGGGAGGAGTCGCAAACCACTTTTGGCTACTCTGCGCACGGGAAAAGGAGATGCTCTCGGGCGAGAATTACTCACTCTGCTCCAGTTACCTTACAATTCTTCAAGCGAAATTTCATCCCACCATCAATATGTTGGCAGCCAGCTGGAGATCCTCACAACCCTGTGCTCGTGCTAATTTGAGGCAAGACCCAGCTCTAGGGTTGGAGGTAATGGGACCGCTCCCCGTGCTGCCCGCGGCCGCTCCAGAAGGCCCCGAGTCTCGCTCCACCCGCGCGCCGTTCCCATCCTCCTCCGGCGCCCGGTATTTAACAAACATTGCCTCCCTTGCTGATCCTGGGAACACCCACCAGGGACTCCCATCCGCACCGCAGAGCAGCCACCCGTCGGACCACCTCCTCTTGAATGGGTTTATTCCTTCCCAAGATCGCTTCTCTTCCCAGATCAGCTGATTTTCAAGAAGCTTAAGAACATTTAAAAAATGCAGGTTAATGATGTCACCGCCTCCTTTTTCACATCCTTTCAACGGCCTAACAGAGTCGGAGCAGCTCCTCTCTCTGGCAGGGACCTCACTCTTTTGGCACCAGGTCCGTCACCCTGGGGTACGTCCATACGGATCTGCAGCGGCCAGGCGGTGCCCGCGCAGCCTCCCCACGCACCACCCTCAGCACTTCTGCCTCCGGCAGCACATTCCCACTCCATTTCCCGCTGCGGGGGCTTGGCTTTGGGTGCCGGTGCGCTGCCACCCTCGTGACACGGGGCGGAAGGCTTGAAGCCCGCTCCCTCCCTTGCAGGGACAGTGCTGCCTGCCCAGGGTCAGGATCCGCCTCACCTGCCTGACCCAGGCAGCCAGCATCCCCTCCTGGGGCTGACGACAGCCTCGAGAGCTCCTGAAGCACATCTGGGAAAGCCTCCGGGTGGAAAAGGAGAGGGCGAAGATGGCCACAGGTGGCAAAACCCCACTCCCAGCACAATCCTGGCCCCAAAACTTGCACAGCAGTTTGGCAACTGTTTGACACTCGAGGCCCCAGGCTGACAGGCAGCAATGCAACCCCCAGGACAGCTTCAGCTGTGGGCACAGCCCTGGCACAGCAGAACTCGCACCCTCAGCCTGGCCATCTGGAGCACACCAGAAACCAGCCATGAGGCTGGGAACCCACCGGAATGCGCTGCTGGGCGGCAACAGCCCTCGAACCACCTCGACAGGGAAGATTTGTGACGCCGGGGTGGCAGGCACGCAGCAAGCCACGGTGCCTGCTGAGGGCAAACGCAGAAGTAGCCACAATGACTACTTCAAACAAGATAAGTAAGAAACCCGAGGCAGGACAGAAATGAACGGCAGGGAACAGGCATCTGCCGGGATGCTGGGGCAGGACTGGGGCCAGGAGAGCCAGAGGGCAAAGCTGGCAAGGATGGGTGCACAGCACCGGCACCGCGATGCAGTGCCACAGCCTCTCCACTGGCAGACCCTGCATGCCAGGATCAGGGGAGAGCAACCACCTCTAGGTCACAGACATACTCCCCCCACCGCAGGCTGGAGCTTCGGGACCCTCCGCGCCCGGCCCGATGGCTGTGTTGCTCTGCCAGCACCCCGCCACGCTGCTGCCGCTCGCCCACAGGGGCAGCTCAGGAGCTGGAGGCAGGGCACGGCACACAGGCAAGGGCAAAGCGAGACGGACGTTAGATGGGGAAAGACAGACACATCCAGATCTGGCTCAAACTTCCAACTGCCCCAGTTTTCCCGGTCGAGCCCAGCGGAGCTGCAAGCCAGCGTGCAGAGACACGGCTGGCATGGACCACCCTTACCAAAACGCACTTCCCCGGCTCCAGGCTCCAGAGGGAACTCTCTGTGTTGATCTTGTGCGTGAGTTTCCCTTCCATGAGGACACGCTGGCTGCTCCCCTCCAGCACCGCTACGCGAATCGCGCCGCTGCTGATATCCACAGACACCTGGAAACAAGAGAGAGAGAAAATAATCAGGAAGGTTCCTGCTCGCCCTCTTGCTGTGCTAGTTGGGGTGCGGGGTCAAGTGCACTCGCTGGGGATGAGAAAGAGAGAAGAGCTTTCAGACCTGCATGTAGCAGGAGGGTGGGAATCCCGCTGTCATTTCAGAGCAAATAGCAACAGCTCAGAGGAGAAAGAAACCTCTCCGGGGAAGGAAAGGCAGCAGGGCCCAGCAGACAGAGCCCTAGAAGGATTCGAGGCAGCTGGTTCTGCCACCGCGACTGCCCCGTGCCTCAGTTTCCCCACAGAGAAAACCAGCAATGCTACAGGCCTCCTCCATACAGTGCTCAAAGGCTGGATGCCCACTTGCTGCGACCGAGCTGTTCAGAGCACAGCGGGTGCCTGGCCGTCACCGTGATGAGCTGGGCATGGCTGTGTGTCTTCCTGGGGGCTGAGCGCTTCCCTACCGAGCGGGAGCAATTTGGGGATTTCTACACCGGGAAGGGCTGCAGCGGCTCATCCCCCCTTCTGCTGCACCGCACCGAAAGCATGCTCCTTGGCTCCGTTTCTGCCGCCAGAGCCAGTGCTGGGCTCAGCCCAGGCCTCCCATCGGGCGTGCGAGGAGGGGCCGCGTGCGGGAGGGACGCTGCGGCACGGCTCCCCTTCTCCCCGCCGCGGGGGCGCGGGGACGAGGCAGCTCTGTCCCCAGGAACGGGGCCAGCTCCCGCCCGCAGCAGCCATATGGGGAACCCTGCTCCGACCTGCCGTGGAGGTGACATGGCTCTCCCCTGGGGAGACAGAGGCAGACTGCGACTTTGCTGCGCGGCACGCAGTACCCTCGGTCTCCGGAGAGACCATATGCTCTCTCCTTTCCCCTTCGGCCCCGAGCTGCCGCCAGCAGAGAGCCCGGACTGGGCCGGGCCAGGGGACTAAGGGAGGACCTGTCCGGGAAGGGGCAGGTTTGTGGCCCCCGGCACTGCCCCGTCTCTGGCTCGAGAGGAGGAGACTGCGGTGAGATTTGCCTGCATTCTCTCCCAGAGTTCCCCCAGATCTTCCTCCCGCTCTGCAGATCTCATTTGAAATGTTATTACATTATCCATTACCTAGGAGATTTCCAGCGGCTCACTAGCTCCACGCAGGCAAGAGACAGGCAAAGCTGCTCCAGCCGGGGAGGGCACCACGGCTACACCTGATTGATGCCACCCAGATAAAGCCCCCAAACCAGCTGCGTGCAGCGGGGAGCTGCCAGGGCTTCGACAGGAGCAGAGCAGGCCCAGCACACACAGCGCAGGGCGACACGGGGACTGAGCTCCAACCCGATGGCTGGGAGCAGGACCGCGGTCGCAGGGGATCGGGGAAGGGATGCGAGCTCCAGCTCTGCCAGACGGGAGAGGACGCTTGGCTTTCCCCCAGCACGTGGCTGTGGACAGCCTCTCCGATAGCAGCTCCTCCTGGATGGGAAACATCTCCGGAGAGGCTGCAGCACAGAGCAGCTTCCTCCAGCCCAGGGCTGAGGTCCCACCGCAGGGACGAGGTGTGGGGACGAGGCTCTGCTCCCCGCCACCACCGACTGCTCTGCTCCCAGGGCGCAGGGACGGGGCTGCTGACGCTGGGCTCTCGGCACGGGACAGGGCCTGCCCAGAAAGGGTCAAGGGGAAAAAAGCAAGGTGACCCGCAAGTCGCCTTCTCGGGGGGGGTTCTTTGGGTGTGAGGGCCAGGGAGGCTGGAGATACGGAAGGCACAGACGCAGCATCGTGGCTGTGGGATCCATGGGGACAGGAGAAATCAAATGTGAGAGGGGTTGTATTCCGAGGTGGCTGCACAAGACAGCTGGTGGGGCTGAGGGACGTCCTCAAGGTGGCTCTGGGACCAGCAAGGCGTTAGGAGAGGGAGTGGAAAAACCCAAATGGAAGAAGAGATCCAAAGCGGGCAGCCTTCATCCAGCCACTTCGCCGCGCAGCCGGCCAGCACAAGAAGCGATCGCAACACCCGCTCCTACCTGCAGCCAGCAAAAAGGCCCCTCTTGGCACGCCAGCCCACCCGAGCGGTGACAGGGGACAGGAGCAAAGCACGCGCCGCCGGAGAGGCCTTGTGCAGAGAGAAATGTCCGAGAGGACTCACGTGCGCACGTGGTGGTGCCCGGTGAACGCAGGGTTTGGCACACGTGGGCAGCGGCTGCTTCTCGGGTGCCTTGGTGGAAAAATTGCCTCCGCTTGGCATCCCCACTCCACTGAGAGGGTGGCCGGGCTCTCCGAGGGGCTGCCCTTTCTCCCTCCGCCACCTGAACTGTCCTGCCGCACTGGGCTCAGGGCACGCACCGCCGGCAAAACCAGGCTTTGCCAGAACCGGGCACGGACAGCCCACACCTGACCCCAGGCAGCGGCTGTGGGGAAGCCAAGGGCAATCCCGTGGGAAACACGCTGTCTGTCCCGGCAGCGCAGCCATGAGCAGGGCCACCCCGAGGCTCCAAGGCTGCTCGTCCCCCACCACGTGCTCCCCGCGAGCACCTCTGCCCCCCAAAATGCCTGGCTTTCCTGGCACTCGCGAGGAAACCCAGATCTCAGCTCTCTGCCGTGGCTTTCCACCACAGTAATTTCTGTGCACACTAAAACGCCCACACCCGCCCACGCAAATCAAACAAGCAAACACAAACCTATGAAGGAATCTAGCTCGTCTCCTCCGAGCCAGGCAAAAAGAGAGGCTTGTTGTCATTATCTCTATTTAAGTGCTCGGGAAGCGCTCGGATCCATGGGCCCCTGTTGTGCCTGTAAGTAGATCAGAGAGGTGGAGAGCACAGGGGAAGATGCTCCCACCTACCCCCTCGCCCATTCCT